ATCATTTAGGGGAAGTTGGCAAAATAAGATTTATTAGCCTTAAATTTACCTATCCTATCTCATCCCCCTTCAAGACTTAGAGCAGCAAGAATAACTACAGTAATTTTCAGGGTTTACAGCAACATTCGACTACCATCTTTTTCAGTGTCCAGTTCCAGACCCTCTCCCTAGAGCAATGCCTAGAAGCCTGCAGCCACTATCCTAACTCTGGAGTCACCTGTGTCCCAGGAGACAGAGAGCCTTGAAGACAGTACACGATGAGTTCACCCTCCCGAGCAAAATCAATCACCTTGCTCTTCAAGGGACAGGGTGCCTTGGGAGCCACAAAACCAGGACTGCGATCATGACTGGTGGGCCTCCATCCAGCCCACTAACACATGCCGAATGAGCCGGCTTGACCCACCTCCATGGGCCAATGTCCCCTTCTCTTTCTTAAACGAAAGCCTTTTCCTACCCTCTCTCAGTTTCCTTTGCTATGAGATGATTTGATCTTTGCGACTGCTGTGCTTTCCTTTATTTTTCTTACTTTTGAATTAAAGCTTTTCCATATAAATTCATTCTGTCACATTAGTTTTAATGCAAGGATCCATGCTAGCTGGTGACAAAACACACTTAACTCTTACAGAATGAATTTTGGGTCCACCGTTGCTTAATTTACTACATTAAACCAGACTTCTTTGTTGTTTCTTCCAACTTTTTTTAATAACAAAAGAAGAATGTGACAAAATGAGTACGTGTCTGTGTGCTGTGTTTACAAACAGAATAGGGGAGCCCATGTAGTCAAAAATGATCACAATTTCTGGAGCTCTAGACCGATGCGCACTCATTTCTCAATATGCTGAGAGTCACTGACCACATTCCTCCTCTGCTTGCTAAACCCAGTAACTGCGTTTGAAACTCTGCCTGCGTCAGTGGTCATTACTCACTGACTTCTCTACCCCAACCAGTGTGTCGACTTAAGATTGCACTGATAGCGAAGCACTGCTGTGAATCAATAGGAGAGAGCTTGAGGACAGATTGCAGTTGAATATTGCTCACAGCTGTGTCCTCACTAGAGCACGCAGAGAAAAATCTGTAAGGAAGAACAGTTCAGACAACAAGAAGGAAGGAAGTGTTGGAAGTACTTGGACTTTGATAACACTTCAAAGGTTGTTCTGGTCCCCTGACCTGTACCTGTGTGTTATGACTTAAGGGGCATCAACTGCCGATCCACTTCTGAGAAAATGATAAAGAGTGAAAGGTGCTCTTTTACCTTCATCTGTTATTTTCATTGAAATTCTACCATTATGTGAAGAACAGAGGTTCTCGGTTAAAGGACAAAATATAAGAATCTGTGAAATGAAGACATGTTCATGAAAGTCCTGGCAGGAAGAAAGGTGGAAAGGACTGTCCAAACCAGCCAGTGACAACAAAGAAATAGGATAGACACGCTGGGTGGGGAGGTTGGCATTATGCAGGGCGGGTGCCAGTGACAGGTTCTCAAAAGGGGCAGCCTCACAAACCAAGCAGGACAAAGAGAAACTATGTAACCATTTTATGAGGTTTCCTTACCCGTGACACCAAGACATCAGAGGGAGAAGTGGTTTGAAATGCTATAATGTTCATTAAATTGTAACCGTGCCAGGGAGGTAATTAATTTAAAACCAAAACAATCCTATCACTGAATTTATACAATTCACTGTTTTTATCTGCACAGATAGAGAGAGGCTCATGCATAATTCCAAATATCGTGTCTGAGGTAAGGAAGGAGAATGAACCACCAAAAGTAGGTTGCATTTTAAAGCAAGCTCTTTGCCAAGAAAGCAAAATGAACATCAAAAGAGGAGCCTTAAATTGTTCTTCTCAATGACATGTTTTGACTTGTGGCCCTGGAGAGCTCCCCAAATGCTTTGAGGTCTTTGCTGTTTGTCAAATCGTGGAAAATTTTAAGATTTCACTTAGCAGTGTATCCTTGAGATTAAAGCAGTGCCGATGAGTTCTGAAGACTAGCTGATTGACCTGGCTTACTCACTTCAGAGGATGTCCATTTCTTTTACTTTCTGCTTTGGCTAATACACTTGAAGTAGATTAATAGATAAATTCTAAGAGAAGTAGATGAATAGATAAATTCATGGAAGAAAATAATAATCTAGTGGTTAAAACTTAAGGAGACATCTATCAGGCTGAGTATGTATTGTGGTTTTGCTGCTTACTTGCTGTGTAGACTGGGGCAATATTCTTCAACTCTCCTGCCTCAGCTTCCTCATCTTCAGGACGCGGTTGACCGAATCTACCTTACAGGATTTTATAAGGGTTAACTGGGATAATGCATCCCCAGTGCTTAATATGCTGTCAGCCTGCTATAGCTTGGATGTTGGGTGTTGCCAAAGAATTCATGTGTTAAAGATTTGATCTCTATCCAGGATGGTGCTACTGGGAGACAGTGGAAACTGCAGGATGTGGGAATTTATGCAGCTCCTTAGATCACTGGGGCCATGCCCTTGCAAGGGGTTCTGTAACCCTGCTGGTCCTCTCTTCATTCCCTGGCTCATGATGTAAGCAGTTCACTCTGCCACATGCTTGTGCTCTGATCTGCTGCCCTTACGAGAGATGCAAAGCTACATGTTGCCTGATCTTGGACTGGAACCTCCAAATTGTAAGTCAACAAATAAACATTTGTTGCTTGATTACCTCAAGTATTCCATTTTAGTTATAGAAAGTCCTCTTATATACTGACAAACGGTTAAGAATCCCAAAAATGTTATAATAATCTTTTTATGCTGTTTTATTTTGAGACAGAGTCTTACTACGAGGCTTCAAAGGCAGGCCTCAAACCTGCAATCCTCCTTCTTCAGCCTCCCAAGTAGCTAGAATAGCTGCACTGGGCATATATTCAAATATCTTCATTGAATAAAAGGCAGTAGCGCTACACCACGTCTTCTGTTCTTGCTTCATGTAAGGTGCAGAATCACTCCTACAGTCCTAAATTTACCCAATCCTGTGGACCTCCAAGCATCCTAAGAATGTAACCAGTACTTCAATGGTAAAAAGACAAGGAGCTATCTTTATAGCATTCTTAATTTTCCAAACTTTGGGGACCCAATGATCTTTATAGAGAGAATCCATAGAATTATTCCTTGAACATAGTCTCAGGTTTCTATACATTTAAATGGTTAAGAAAATATTAAATATTACTTGTTAATCCCCCACTTATTTATATAATTTTCCTACTATAATTTTCTTTTAAAAGAGTATAAATTTAGCTCTTTCACTTTTCCTTTAGGATTTAATCCTCCAAGAACATAAAAGTTGGCCCTCTCTAGAGCACATACCATTTTCAAGGACTCTTCATGCTCTCCCCTTTCAACACATCTTTAAAATTGAAATTTCTAATTTATAATTATATATCATATTGGGGAAAATAACAAAAGTATCCAGAACAGATTGTAGAATTAGTCCTGTACTAGTTATTCTTTCAGAACTTCTAAAGAGAGACTTCTCAATTTGCCTGATGACAGCTTACAGTGGTTTTTAGGACCACCTGACACTGATCCCTAGAGGGACAAGAAGGATGCTGAAAATCAGACACTGGTTTGGTCACAGATATCTCTGTACCTGACTCTCCAAATACTGCTGGAGCTGGGAGGAGAATGTGGTGAGAGGTAGTGATTCCTACTCTGAAATCACCAACTGAAAGCTACTGGGTAATTTAAGAAGCCCTTCCTATTTTTTTTTTTAAATGAATCATTTAGATTTGCAGCCAATTTCAATCAGATTTCTTCAACTTCACGATTTCACTTAAACTCTTTAGGAACAACTGCTTCCCCTTAAATTCTTAAAACTCTAGAGTTTTGAGTCACTTATCTAACTTGTTCCAAAAATGCTTGTCAGAAATTTATAGTTACCACTGAGGAGTAAGATATCAGCTAATATTAAATCATATTATTTTTAGTGAAACATAGCTTTAGATTGCTTGTATGGTACCAATCCGTAGGTCTTCAGTATGGCAAAAAAGATCAGCCATCCAGTGAAACCTAGTTTATTTTCAGGAACTCAGATAGAATGTATGTCCCAGACTTTCATATAGTGAAGCATAAGGTCAAGTTCCATATTGGAATTAAGCAAAAGTGAACTTCGCTAGTACTGGGCTGGGGCCTCTGCCTGATCCATGTACTTTTCTGCTTTATACTAGAAAGAAAGGAGTCCACCAGCTCCAAACAACTTTGTTGAAGATGCAAGGTGACCTGTCAGCAACTTTTTCAAACTGAATATGGAAGAGATATCCTTCAAGAAGGAACTTACCCTAAGCTGACAGATCATGGAGGAATGAGTGGATACTACATTTAAACTATGACAAAGGGGCTGGGGATTTAGCTCAGTGGCAAAAGCGCCTGCCTGGCAAGCGCAA